CTTTACTGGTAGCCTCGATACGATACTTAATGCGAGAAATCACATGATTTAGTTGGGAATCCTCTGCTTTTTCTTGTTGTCTCGGTGTTGTGTTGGATTGTCGTGACACTGGAAAGCTCGGCGAGGATTCATCGCAGTCGTGGAATGGTGAGATTTGCGCAGAACGACAATCACATCTCCACGGCAACCAGATCCTTTCAACCGACACACTCGCACTCACTTGAGCCTGCCTCGCAGAAGATCTTCTCCTCCCGACTTGACTGGACCGCAATTCCCACCTCGCCCTGACCTGCCTTCTTCTTTAAACTCGTCGACCAGAAACAGCCGCCAAGCGACAGGTCTACTTGGATCCTCTCCCCCAACCCACTTGTCCCCAGGGTCGGTAGAACTCCGTCTCCTCTCCTCTCTCCCTCTTTCTTTCTCTATTTCTCTTCCTTTCCCTCCATCATTATCTCTCTCTTCCCCCCTCTCTCTCCCCTTATCTTCCTCTTCATTTCTCCCTCTATCCCCGTATTCTTCTGTTTTCCTCCTGCTCTCTCTCTCCCCAAATTTCTGCCCCGTCGGGGTTCCGGAAACTTTTAGCATCTTCCGATGCTCGACCGATTGGCTTGGCATCGCCCCGCCTCGGACAACGTCGGACCGCGAGATTCGTGGCTGAGAGACAGAAGGCGAGGGCGAAGGCGAGGGCGAGGGTAGCAAACTTTGTTGCTGACCCGTTAGTCGTCCTCGGCCTCGGACGCTTGTCGTCTACACACGGACAAAGCGGACAGAGGCATGCAGACAGCTTGCAATCCAGACTCGAGGGGACACAACCGCATGTCCTGCCAAAATCAGCCCGACGGACGCGTCTTTCTGTCTGTATGTCTCTTTTTCTTTCCTTGTCTGTCTGTCCTTACGTCCAGTTGCATGTATGCATGTTCGCTGACGGCTGCTCCAACCGGAGGAAGGTGGGAAGATTGAAATGACGTCTGCTTTCAGCTCTCGTCGAAGTATTTCACTTGCCTAAACGATGAAGGCACACACGTCAGCCAAGTAACATGCTACTGATGATGATGATGATGATGATGTTGATGATTTTCTGTCGCAACACTGGCTACAATAGCATGAGGCCCGACCAGATGCGAGGGCCAAAGAGACAAACGGACAGTTGTGTGCAAGTGAGAATGTGTAGGCATGCCCAAGTCACCTCTGCGCAAGAACTGAAAGTAAGTAGGCTTGTAAGTAGTGAGTGGAGGTTTAATTGCGCCAAATAATCGTGCTGAAACGAGGCCAACGAGAGGAGGCTTGGCGCATGCCTCGCGGTTGTCCGCGTGTGCTGACACTATTTCAATCACTCTCTCTTGCGTCTTGATTGGTCGGCTCCACGACCGGACGTCCTGTTGCTGCTGCCACACACAAGCAGACGCACAGACGTACGGATAGACAGACGAGACGGATGTGCACGGTGTTGGTGTGTTGGAGAAAAGTTGGCGTGTCCACCGGATCGGGAAAAGAGGGTTCACTCGAAAGGAGGAGAGAAGTGCGAAAGCAGTCGACGTGTTGGATTGAAAGACTGGCCTTTACGTGGACTATCAACTTGGCCACTTCACCATTCTCACGCGCCCACTCAGCACCGCCTCCGAATCCTCCGTTGCTGCGGTATCCAAGTGAGTCGACTTGTTGTCCGGGCATAACACCCTCTCTCTCACCCTCATCTTCACCCACCCCTCCCTCGTTCTTATTCTGACCCCCGACGCTCCAAAGAGGAGATGCAGCTCCGTTCCGATTGGTCAAACGTCGAGTTCGAGTCCGAGTCCGAGTCCTAATCCCACTCCCTTGGGAGGGGGGGTGGGAATTGAGGTGGCCCGTTGTCTTGAAGGGTCCTGTCTGGTGCTGTACAGCACCTGCGGCAGCTGGGGCCTTAAAATTGGTCGTCAGGGCTCGTTGCTCAGCGAAGATTGGGTCTTCTGAGGCGACTCGGAAAACGAGGGATTCGATGTATTCACCCTATTTCGTCTAAAGTGATGAAGGACTGGTAGTAGAATTTTCCCACAATCATATGAGTAGAGCTGACGTTTTCCATTCAATTTCACAAAACCTTGCTTTACCAAAAGTTGTTCTCATCCAGACACAAGTGGACTGCAGTTTCGACCTCGCATCAACTGGTCTTATCAACACCCTCAGCGGGAGTCGAACGGTAGCTTGACATGCCAACCACTCAGGTACACTGCCACGAGCACCTTTGAGTCACAGGGCATAAGGGAATTTCAAGGAAGGTCAGACATCTTGCCATATCATATTCTTTGGTGGGATTGCCGATGAAGCAAACATATATTTGCTATAGCAATCGACAACGTTACTTCGTATTAGAGTAGGGTTCCGAGACTACCAGTAAATCAGTTTAATGAGATGTACTCACCCTATTTCGTGTAAGGTGATGAAGGACTGGT